ATTTTGAGAAAAAAAAAACTATATTTTTTTGACATTTTGTTATTAAATCTGTCTAGTCAAAAATATAAAAAAAAAAATTTCCACATAAATTTAGGCCAAAATGTATTCTACTACATGTCTTTGCTAAAAATACGAGTGTAAATTAATTGGTTTAGAAAGTTATAGCGTTTACAAATAACAGTATATATACTGTAAAAAAAAAATTTCTGCTAGTAATGGCAGCGATCAGCGACTTATAGTAGCGGGACTTCGGCAGGCATTCTGACACTGGGGGGAACTGACTTAGTGTCACTGACATCCCCAGTGACACCAATACAGTGATCAGTGCTAATAAAAAGCACTGACACTGTACTAATGACAGTGGGCAGGAAGGGGTTAACATCTGGGGTGATCAAAGGGTTAACTGTGTGCTGTGTGTGTTTTACTATGAGGCTGTGTGTGCTTTCCACTGTAAGCACACTGCTTTAGCAGTGCGTAGCAGAGCCATATAAAGCAATATGCTGGAGCTAACGGGAGAGAACTGTATTGTTTACATACAGTTCTCTCCCCTGTCGGTAATACTCGCCAATCACTGGCTGGTACCCGTTGATTGACAGCTGAGGTCGCAAATGGCGGCACGGGTAGGGCGTGCGTGCGGCTCGCACAAGGCCCCTACCAGGAAATGCAAAATCACACACACATATGTGATTTTGCGCACCCCTGGCGCCCTGTAGCAGTATTTCTGCTATAGGATGACAGGAAAGCAGTTAAAATGATTGTGAAGTCTTCAAAAAGAAAAATAAAATTGGTCCCTGTAAGTTAATGTCATAATGTGCTAATATGCATCACATACTAGCACATTATGGAAGACTTGCCTTAAAACGAAGTCCTCCAGCGGCATGCTGTCACAGCTGACAGGGCTTCCATCTTCACCTGGTCTTCCTTCTAGGTTCGTTTGGATGGCCAAACTGCGATGATGTCACTCCCGTGAGGGAGCCAGGACTGTGACAGAGCACTCTGAAGGGGTGGCATGCCCCATTGTTTATATATATATATATGCTATTTGTCTGAGTATAAATCTATGTTTATATCAATCATGTTTGAATCCAAACATGATTGGGAACTACACTTTCAGTAGAATACTTTATAAGATTAGTTTTGAACTGTCCTGCTGCTAGTGTTAGGTCATGTCCCCTTGTTCTTGATCTTGGTTTCATATTGAAATTACTCCATTACTTCGCTCTTGAGCATTTTTTTACACACTTAATGTATTTAAACATTTCAAACATGTCTTTTCCCTTCTTTCATCAAGACTATACATATTAAGTTCCTGAAGTCCCTCCTAATATCTTTTATCCCTCAGACCTTTCACCATTTTTCACCCATCTCTGGATTTGTTCTAACTTATCTTTTTGTAAGTGAGGTTTTCAGAACTGGACACAGTATTCTAAATGAGATCTCACTAAAGATCTATATGATCTGCTGGTAAATCCCTCTAGTGCTTCACCCTAGAATTCAATTTGCTTTTCCCAATGCTTGGCCATACTGTTTGCTCTTTTTTTCAGTCATCTGAAATAAACACTCCCAAATCTTTTTCCTCTGTAGTTCTGGCCAATGCAGTACCCACAAAATTGTACCCTAAGAAGGGATCCTTTTTCCTTAAGGGCTCCTGCACACGTGTGTTGATTATGAAGAACAAAGCAATGCTCATTAACGCTCCTATGGCATTTATGATGATTAGTGATTTTAAGGAAATTATCTAATTTGATATGTTGATTTAGGATATTTTACAAAATTCTATAAAATAAAAAGCAGAAGCCATGTAATCATACTCACTATTGCTCTCCTGCTCCCTGGAGGACAGTGTTTCCTCGTCTAAGGATAATAGCTGCTTTGTGACTTGTTGCCAGACTTGTTTGTTTGTATTTTATTGTATGCATCACAACAGTTTGGGATACTTGGTTTGTATAAGTCCATGTGCTGTTGTACCTCTCATATGAGTACTGATACATTAATACCCACACTTGCTGTGCTCTTCACTAGCAATAATGCTCAATGCCTCTTGCTCTCACCTGGCACTGCCAGTATTGCTGGCTAGCTTGATGCTTTTGGCTGTGCACAGAAGCAAATGGAGTTACCACACAGCTGTTCTGTACAACCAGGAAATTAATAGAACAGCTCTGTGCTAGTTCTCTATTATTTCCTAGTTCATTCTGGGATGCCAGAATTTTACATTAAACACCTGCTAACCCCTCGCAGTAAATGTACTGTGAGCAGGGTTCTGGTACAGGCACAATCACATACATGTATGTCGTCTGTACATGGGAGCACAGCACTCCACTCCTGTGACCGCTGTGTCCAACAGACACAGTGGATTACTGTTACTGATTGGTCATAGTGATCACACGATTACAATGTAAACAAAACAGTCATGAATGGTTTCCATTCATGACTGCTAACTTATTTGTTGTGAAACTGTGATTGGCTCACAGCTATCATGTGATACCTGACTACCTGTACCATGTGATTAGCTGTAGCCAACTAGCCAACCACAGCAAGTCAACAGTAACTAAGCTGTCATGAATGTTAACCCAATATGGTGATGCTGTACTGCACTGGTGACACAATATAAAATAAAACAAAGTTAAGACTAAAACCATTTTTTTATTTAATTTCTTGATCTTCCAAAAAAATTGTGACAAAAAAAAACTTGAAAAACTCTCCCAGGCCACTTAAAAAAATATCTCGGGCTATCTACTTTTCAAAAAGGGGTCATTTGGGGGGAATTTACAGTGTCATGGCATTTTAGGGCCTCAAGAAATGATTTTATTTTATATATATATATATATATATATATATATATATATATATATATATACACATACATACAGTTGTATTCAAAATAATAGCAGTGTGTTGAAAAAGTGAATAAAGCTCAAAAATCCTTCTAATAGCTTTTATTTCCATACACACAAATGCATTGGGAACACTACACATTCTATTCCAAATCAAAACATGAAGAAAAATATATCAAATTTATGTTGTTCCTTATATAAAATCTTGAAAAAAGTGTATTGAAGTGTCAAAAAAATTTGCTTTCCTTTGACAAATCACTTAATTAATATTTAGTTGTATAAGCGCTGTTTCTGAGAATATTTACTGTTGTAAGCACTGTGTCTGTGTTGCATGGTTGCATGTCAACCAACTTCTGGCACCTGTGAACAGGTATTCCAGCCCAGGATGATTGGACTACATTCCACAGTTCTTCTCTATTTCTTGGTTTTGCCTCAGAAAACTGCATTTTGTATGTCACCCCAGAAGTTTTCTATTGGATTAAGATCGGGGATTGGGCTGGCCACTCCATAACGTCAATCTTGTTGGTCTGGAACCAAGATGTTTACTGGTGTGTTTGGGGTCGTTGTCTTGTTGGAATGCCCATTTCAAGGGCATTTCCTCTTCAGCATAAGGCAGCATGACCTCTTCAAGTATTCTGATGTATTCACACTGATCCATGATCCCTGGTATACGATAAATAGGCCCAACATGAGAAACATCCCCATATCATGATGCTTGCGCAACTATGCTTCACTGTCTTCACAGTGTACTGTGGCTTGGATTCAGTGTTTGGGGGTCATCTGACAAACTGTCTCCCGGCCACTAGACCAAAAAAGAACAATCTTACTTTCATCAGTCCACAAAATGTTGCACCATTTCTCTTTAGGCCAGTCAATGTGCTCTTTGGCAAATTGTAACCTCTTCAGCACGTCTTTTTTTCAACAGTGGGACTTTGCGGGGGCTTCTTGCAGATAGCTTGGCTTCTTATAGACGTCTTCTAATTGTAACAGTACTCACAGGTAACTTTAGACCTTCTTTCATCTTCCTGGAGCTGATTGTTGGCGAAGAGTCCTTGCCATTTTGGCTATTCTTCTATCCATTCGAATGGTAGTTTTTCGCTTTCTTCCACATCTTTCAGGTTTTGGTTGCCATTTTAAAGCATTTGCGATCATTTTAGCTGAGCAGCCTATCATTTTCTACACTTCTTTATATGTTTTCCCTTCTCCAATCAACTTTTTAATCAAGGTACGCTGTTCTTCTGAACAATGTCTGGAACGACCCATTTTCCTCAGAATTTCAGAGAGAAATGCCCTGTAACCAGCATGTACAACATTTGCTGCCTTCCTTCCTTAAATAAGGGCAGTAATTGCCACCCTGTTTTTCAAAGAATGAATGACCACTCACTAATAGAACTCCACACTGCTATTATTTTGAACATGCCCTTTCAATTAGTGATTCAATTACACAGAATCAGCAGCATGCATGTCTATGACTGTTGGGTCTGTTGGATTTTTATTACTCTGCTACACCTGCTAGTAAATTATTTGCCATGTAGAAATATAATTTCTACCAAAAACAGTGATTGATCAGGTTAGTGATGTTCTGACTGCTATTATTTTGAACACAACTGTACATACATACCGGCAGGCGTACCTCGGTTTACGAATGCATAGGTCAACGTAATTTTTGGTTTACAAATGAAAATACATTGAAAACAATGTTTACGAATTTTTTTCGCAATACGAATGGATTAATTAGTTTTCAATGCATTTACGATTTTTTTTTTTTAATCATGTTCCTGTACAGTACTATACCTTTAACCACTAGCCTACAGGGCACTTATACCCCCTTCTTGCCCAGGCCAATTGCCAGCTTTCAGCGCTGTTGCACTGTGACTGACAATTGCGCGGGTCATACAAACACTGTACCTATATGAAATTTTTATCATTTTTTTGTAACAGATAGAGCTTTATTTTGGTGGGATTTAATCACCTCTGGGTTTTTTATTTTTCATAAACAAACCAAAATACACTGAAAATTTTGAAAAAAAAAAGTTTTTCTTAGCTTTTGTTATAAAATTTTGTAAAAAAGTGATTTTTCTCCTTCACTGATGTGTGCTAATGAGGCTGCAGTGATGGGCACTGATAGGCTGCACTGATGGACACTGATAGGTGGCACTGATGGGTACTGATGAGGAGGCACTGGTAGGTGGCACTGATGGGCATTGACAGGCATCACTGATGGGCACTGAAAGGCAGCACTAATATATGGCACTGATAGGTGGACTGACTGGCACTGTTAGGTGGCACTGACTGGCATTGTTAGGTGGCACTGATAGGCAGCACTGACGGGCACTGATAGGCGGCACTGATGCACACTGATAGGCGGCACTGACTGGCACTGATAGGTGGCACTGACTGGCATTGGATAGGTGGCACTGATTGTCAGCACTGATAGGTCACACTGACTGGCATTGATAGGTGGCATTGACTGGCACTGATGGGTGACACTGAAAGGCAGCTCAGATGGGCAATGATATGTGGCATTGATGTGGCACTGAAATGTGGCACTGATGGGCACTGGCAGGTGGCATGGATGAGCACTGAGAGCTGGCACTGATGGACACTGACAGGTGGCGCTGCTGGGGCTACACAGATCATCAGGGCACACTGATCATCAGTGCTCTGATGATCTGTGTACATTTCCCCTCCGAGGAATGCCGATTACCGGCATTTCCCTGTTTTCCACATGATCAGCTGTGATTGGACACAGCTGATCACATGACCGAGCCGACATCCTCGGCTCTTTGCGTGGATCGGTGATCCGCTGTGTCTGAGGGACACAGCGCACCACTGATCGCCGCGCGCTGCGTATTCTGGGATCCGCGCCTGCGCGGTTGGAATGGGAGGACGTCATATGATTTCTCCCAGAATAAGAGAACCACCTTGCATATTACTATATGGCGGGCGGGGAGGCGGTTCAAGTGCGCATTATAAAAGAGTTTTGAACAGAAGACTTTTTTACTTTTTTCTGACCTCTGGAATGGATTAATTGATATTCAATGCATTTACGATTTTTTTTTTTATAAATCATGTCCCTGGACAGTATTTACTGTATGCCTTTAAAAGAGCACTTTATAAAGAGTTATGAACAGATAAAATACTTTTTTTTTAAACTTTTTTCTGACCTCTGGAATTAATTGGTTTTCAGTGCATACCTATGGGAAACCGCATTTTCAGTTTATGAATTTTTTGCAATACGAAAAGTCCCGCAGAATGCATTAAATTCGTAAATATAAAATACACCATAGTTTGTAGACACTATAACTTTCACATAAACCAATTAATATACACTTTTTGTTGAGATTTTTTTTTTTTTAACCAAAGACGTAGTAACACCTTCCGGAGGTCAAGTGGTTAAGAAACATTGAACTGCAGGTTCCACTGCTTTGACCAATCTTTCAGCAAGTCCTATATGAACCTCATTTACAACCACAGTATACTAAATATAGAGTGCAGCATATGTTCTGCATAATCCATTGCCAGAGGTTTCTAATTTAATACCACGATTATAAACTCTAAAAAAAAGTGATAATATTGTCAATCATTGCTGGATAATTCCTGGTTGCCAGATCTCCATTGTAAAACTGAATTATAACAAGACAGCGCTCTTCCCAAAGGATATCTCTTATGGTGCAGAAGTGCTAGAAAACAAATATGAAAAATATAAAAAAACTAAAAATAAAGTGTGGGAAAGTGTCCAAAACAATGTGTGGGAAACTATTCAAAAACATAACATTCTAACAATCAATATATCTAAAAATAATGAACATAACTATAAACAGAAATATAAAAAAAAAAATATAAAAAATTATTTAATAAAAAAAAAATATAAAAAATTATTTAATAAAAAGGTGTGGAAAAGTGTTCAAAAGAAAAAAGTCAATCAATTAGTGAAACAATTGGTGAAACAATTGTGAAGTGCTCCCAATCCTCAAAAATCATTATCTTGTGTATTGTTGATACACAGAAATATTAAAAAAAACTTTTTTTAAAAAAATGTGTGGGAAAGTGTTAAAAAGAAAAAAAAAAGTCAATGAATTGGTGAAATAATTGGAGAAACAATTGGTGAATTGTGAAGTGCTAAGTTTTTTTTATATTTTTTTTTTAGCACTTCTGTACCATAAGAGATATCTTTTGTGAAGAGCGCTGTCTTGTTATAATTTAGTTTGGCTGTTTGCCCTTCATTGGGTTTGATAGTGGCTGTCCCTGAATATATTTCTTATTTATACACATTTTTTTCAAGTTCCAGAGGCGCTGTTCTCTAATTGGTATTCAGATCTCTATGGTGGCTGAAAAAAAGTATCAGGTGAGTCATTGGGAGCTATTGTTGAAGCAGCAGTTATAAAGTATTTTGGTTCCATCAGTCTTGGTTGTTTTCCACACAGTGATTGGTTTTCCTGGCTTAGAGTTAGTTTGCCACATATAACCAATCCATACTTGCTGGAAACCAAAGCAGACAATATTATGTGAGAAGTGCCAGCTCCTCAGTTTGAAATTGGCGCAGATGGCAGTTAATCTTAAACTGAAACATACACATACTATGCTGGTTAGGAGGGAAAGTGTAATGTAGGGGAGTGTAGTGTTGGCAGCCATAGCCAGGGCAGCAAGTGAGGAAGGAGAAGGGCAGAGAGCACTTGTACGCACTAGTGCAAACCCAGATGAAGAATGCCCATGAACTAGGCAAGGTGTGCTGTTTGTGGGGGACAATTCATTCACCTGAGGGGCAAGTGTTTCCAGGATACACTGTGCACAGGGCAGGCTGGACTGCTTCTGTCAATGAGACGTGCGCCCTGTACAGTGGAGGCAGGGCTGACAAGGGAGTTCTCCTATATTAAAGTAGTTGTAAAGGCTAAAGGTTTTTTTACCTTAATGTATTCTCTGCATTAAGATAAAACACCTTTAATATTCAGCTCCCCCCCTCAGCCTCCCCTTATACTTACTACTGAGCCTCGTCTCAATCCAGTGATGTGCATGAGAGCAGCGGCTCTCTGCCTCCTCACTGGCTCAGAGAGGCAGCAGCGAGAGCCCTTGATATTGTCAATAACAGCCAGTGAAGAGCAAATGGGGGAAGGGGCTGAACCGCGCTCTGTGTGTCAATGGAACACAGAGGATACTTGGGAGAGAGTGGGTCACTCAGCAGGGGGAAGTGGCCTGGAGCCCCAGAGGAGGAACCCGAGAAGAGAAAGATTGGAGCTGCTCTTTGCAAAACCATTGCACAGTGGAGGTAAGTATGACATGTTTTTATGAAAGTTTACAATCTATTTAACGTGGAAAGTAAACTTTGTTTTTCATGCTTTACCTACAGTTAAGCCTTTAATAAGGCTTACCTGTAGGTACTGTATATATCTCCTAAACGTGCACCGTTTAGGAGATATTTACTGTGGCAGCTTCGGTGATGTCACACTGGCGCATGCTCACTGCGCTCTCACTGGATGGCTCAATGGACAACAAATATATATGCTCCCAATGGACAACAAATATATATGTTAACAATTCTCCAGACACTTCCTTTTTTTCAGGAACTGGTATCTTGGGTGTTTAAGGTCCCCAAAACTCTTCATTCAATAGGAGGGGATTTTAACTCGGTCATGCGCCCTTCTGAAGATTGCTTGAGTGGGGCGGCTCCTTAAACCCCGATATCTTGCTTCTCCTACACTGGGACCCACCCTTCTGGCCCAGTCTGTTTCGACAATGTGCTTTGTGGATTTCTGGCACTTAACCGGCCCAGCTGATTGCGAATTTACTTTTTTTTGCCCCCCTCCCAATTTATTCTCACTGATAGATTCTTTTTTGCCTTTCTAGCACTAGTATTCTTGCTCCATGATAAGGAAATAGGAAATATTATGATTTCAGAAACATAGCCCCATTCTAGTTGAGCTATCCAGACTCAAATGCTCCTCTCCCTCGCCTATTTGGCGTTTCCTGTCCTACCTAGCTAACAAAGAGGATTTTCGTTTTACTTCTCTATATTGCTCTATACTGTGTGGGCGGACTATGCAGCTACCAATGGAGCCCACCTTATTGATCCCAACCTTTTTTGGGAAGCGGAAAAAAAGCCTTCCGTAGGGGTAAAATTATTTCTCATTCTTCCCAATTTAAAACATTCCCGACAACAATTCCAGCTAGTGAAACTCTCCATTTAGCACATGAGGCTTTGTTGCAGTCATGCACCTTGGCCACCAGAAAAGCTTGGCAACTTGCGAAACGTAACTTTGACTTGTGGGCAGAACAGCAGAAGGCAGCTAAACTGTTGTACTGCACTTCACAATTCCTCAGATTTGGTAATAATGCTGGTAAACTTTTAGCCAAACTCTGCTCAGGCCCTAGGCGACCAACTTACATTTCTACTCTGAAAAATCCTGCGTGCTGTTTTGTTACCACACCTTGGAAGTTATTAAACTGCTCACTGATTACTATAAATCTCTTTATTCAGAGGATTCGATTGACCAGGTGAAAGCTACTGCCCCACTGGCTAGAGTGAGTTTACCTCAACTCCCCTCTCAGCTCAATTAAGAGACTCTAAATGCCCCTATCTTTTCTGAAGGATATGCAGACAACTATCAAATCACTCCCTATGGCCAAGGCCCCAGGCTTGGATGGATATGCTGCAGAATTCTACAAACTTACCAATGACTTTATTCCTGACACCTCAAAACATGTCTTCATGGCATTGTGGGAGGGTGGTCTATATCTCCCCACTGGAACACAGGCTTACATTAGACTCATTTCTAAGAAAAGGAAAGACCCCCTACTTCTGAGCTCCCATAGGCCTATATCATTAATCAATGTTGATATAAAAATGTTCTCAAAAATAGTGGCATCACAATTAGCACCACTCCTTCCTTCCATTTTACATCTGACTCAGTCAGGTTTTGTCACGGGATGGTTGGCAACTTTGAACATCCACAGGGTATTACTTGTGCTAAAATATGCCAAATCACATTTAGATCAAGATCTTGCCATTCATCTGTCTCAGCGTCAAAAAGGCTTTTGACAACATTAGCTTCTCCTGGTTATTTATAGTAATGAGAACATTTGGATTTTCGGGCCCGGTTTTAGACTTTATACAACAAATGTGTGCATTCCCTTCTGCTCGCTCAGTTACCCCAGACTTCATCTTGGATACCATTCCTTTAACTAAGGGAATGAGACGGGGTGCCCTCTCTAACTCTTCTCTTTTTATTATTGCAATTGAGCCATTGCCCAAAACAATTAATTCAAAGGACAGTGTTAGCGTATCACTATTGGCAATCAAACCTTCCATCAGCATTATTTGAGGATGATAATTTATTGTTTTCCTCCAATCCCTCATTAGATTTTATTAAACTTAAAGAATTGTTTGTGGCATTTCGTCTCTGCTCTGGGATAAGAATCAATTTTGATAAAACATAAGTCCTATCCTTTAAACCCTTGTGAGTCTGCTAAATGGTGACTATCTCCTCCATTTAGCATTGCCAATCATCACCTCACTTACTTGGGTATATGGATAGGATGAGAGCCCTCATCATTATATAATCTTCATTACCCCCCTCTAATAACAAAAATTATACAGGATCTGGAAGCATGGGCATCCCTCCCCCTCTCGTTCCTTGGGAGATGT